CTCCCACCCACAGCCCCCACCCCTGCTCCCTCCCATCCACTGCCCCCACCCATGCTCCCTCCCACACACAACCCTCACCTGTGCTCTCTCCCTCCCACAGCCCTCACCTATCTCATCTCTTTCCCACAACTCTCACCTGTCCTCTCTCCTCAACTCTTCACAAGGCTGTTCTCACTTGTGGTCAGGTCTCTCTGCTCAGAGGGCTTTCCTGATGACTCTAAATGGACCCCACATGCCCACACCCCATCTGTTTCCTACTTGCTGCTCGTTTCTCTTTTAAAGTTGTGCTGACCCTCCCTGAGGGCAGAGTGATGGTTTCATTCCCTGTGTCTGTGTCTAGAAGAGTAGGTGAGTGGTCTTGGAATCATTTCATTGCAATCTACATGCATCCCTCCATTCGCTGACCCCTCAGTGGGGTGGTAAGGCACCTCTGTCATCATATTCATCTCTGACCTCCTGAGTCTAGTTGGTCCTCACAGGGAGAGCCATCCCCAGGCTCACAGGCTCAGGGCTCACCCAGCTGGACGAGGTAGTAGACGGTCAGCAGCAGCTGCATCTCCTGGGAGATGGGCTGCACAGTGGAGGCGCCATGCTGCTCATATGCCCTGGAAAGCGACTGGGAGTTCTGGTAGCATGTGTACAGCAAGGGGCTGACGACCACATCGTTCAGGTTTCCGCAGAGGTAAGGGAAGTTGCCATGTCCTAGGGGAGAAGAAACAGTGGCTACTTGACCTGTGGATTCTCTGCAGAGCCACTCCCAAGTTCTCCCAAGAACACCCTTTCTGGGAAATCTCGGGCCTCCAGCCCTTGCTGACCTAGTGCACCTGCTCTGCCCTCCTGGGACCTAGGACAGAGTTGTCATCTGTCACCTGGCCAGGGCATTTGTGTGTTCATGTTCAATCCCCTTATATTACATATGAGCAAGCTCAAGCCCAGAGAGAAGCAGTTCACAGAGAGCCAAACAGTCTTGGGAATGACCTTGAAACATCTGAGACTACTCACTGGTCCTTGCCTCCCAGTCTTGCACCATCCTGGGGCTCTGTGGCCAGGAATATACATCAGTGTCTAGATCCAAAGAGTCAGGAAACCAATAGTCCTTGACTGATGCTTGAGTGGACATTAGATTCATTCTGATGACAGCTCTTGGGGCAGAGCTGTGCAGCCTGGGCTCATGTCCCATCTGCATAAGGCCCTAGGCAAGAACTTGACCTTCATAAAACCTCAGTTTGCATTTGCACAATGGGGAGAAGATGGCAAGGGCTTGTGATGATGAGAATGAAGGTTTCCTTTATCACCAAATCTTACTATATACAGCTATATACAGGCATCCTTTGGGGCTTGTGGGCCAAGTAACAGACTTGGTAAGACACATACTGGCCCCACCCACAGCTTCAGGTTGAGAATTTAGGCATGTTCTGACTGTGGGGCAGGCCTGTGAATTCACATCTGCTCGCTCCTCAGGGATGCTGGGGTGGGAACTGAGACCACAGCTGGGCACAGGTGCTCATAATGCTCCTTACAAGAGAAGGGACACCATGCTTGTCATGCAAGGGGATCCCGGAAGCTGCCCTGGGAGCCAGATGAAAGACAGGTAAGGAGGTACTGACTGGGCTTGGAAACCTAGGTGGGTTTTCAGCACACAGCAATGGATGGGAGTCAGGGAAGCAAGTGAACTTGAACAAAGAAGAGGATCTATACTCTGAGACCACTCATTGTGAGGCGCAGCTCTGCACAGCGCCCTTCTATGGGGTACCCTGCTTAGCACAGGGTCTACCTCTGAGCCCTGAAGCCTATCCCAATTCTGCTTCTCGGCTTCTCACACACACAGAATCTGGCATGGAATACATAGCAGGATAGAATGCGGGCCTCAGGGCACCACAGAAGCACCTAGTCACTGGCCTAGTTCAAGGTCAGATTTGTACTCTACTTTCTGAATATTGTGTCCCTTTTTGTTCCTGGATTTGGGGAAATTGGCTCATTTAAGGAAAAGAAATCAGTGCCCTGTCTTAATAAGCAATCACTGCCTCTTCCATTTTCCTGACATGCTCCCTTCTCTCTCTGACAAGCAGAATGCCAAATGTGCAGTTAAGGATTTAGAAGTACATAGCCTTCTATGCCTCTCGAGCTGCATAGTGAAAGCTGTCCTCAGGCACATCCTCTGGAATCTTCACATGGCCTCACATTGCTAAATGTCCAACTCATTGCAAAAGGATTTCTTCAACTGAGCCAAAATTCTCCCTCCAGGTAGTATGCACTAGCCACCACACAGAGAAGACCCAATTGCGCCCTATTTAACACTTCTACAGCAGTGACCATGACTACTATGGCTCAATCAAAGTCAGAGTACATGGCCCAAAATGCATGGATTTGGCTGACAACAGGACAAGCCATCAGGCCAGGGAGGGTTCTCTAAAGCAAGGGGTTGCTTTGTCTATCTCTGAGTCCTCAGTGCTCAGCACTGGGCAGGTTACTGTGGTAGGGGCTCTGTGAAACAGAAAATGAAGGAAAGGACCTGAACAAGCAAGTTTCACGGGGCAGAGTCACTGCACGCTGGCTGTGGCAAACTGACATGCTCTGTAGTTCTCAGCACCCTGTGGAGCTAACATCATGGCTGGTCCCCCTTCACTCTTTCATTGCCCTGGAGAACTTTAGTTTGGACTCAGGGGGAATCCCTTTGGAGTCGGACTCAGATGAGGTTACATTTTTGTCTGGGATTTCCTACAGACTTTCCTACCTCCACTGTTGGGTACACAGCTGTACTTGCCTTTGAATATCACCGGCTTGGCCTTGCATATTTTCAGCAAGTTGTCCGGAACAGACACTGGTTCACCGGAGGCTACCACAGGGATGGTAACTGAAGTTGATCCCACCAAGCCAGCCTGGGGTATGCAGGACATGCCTGAACCTTCTAGGAACACACCAAGAGAGTTAATAAAACATCAGATGAGGCCCAGCACCCCTGACATCCAACTAGCTGACAAAACTGCTAACTTACCCATCTCCCTATTTATAAAACCCATGGGCTCACTCAGTCCCACAGTCCCCACCACCTCTTCAACACCCAGGCCCACAGTGTGACAAACAAGCTTTTAGATCTTGCTAGGATCAGGGAACTCCTCTCTACAGGACACTAGATCTCATTAAGCAGCTGACCCATGAGAAAGAGGTCCTTCTGCTACACCAGGGTCTGCCCACCCAGAAACCTCTCACTGATCTGCCTACCCACATGTGCACAAATACACAGACATGCATCTGCACATGCACATACCCTAACAGGATCACTGCCACCACTGGCAAGTAGGTTTGGGATTGGGTAAGGCCACAGTCACTTACCATGCTTAGCTCTGTTGCCACCACCCTGAGGGAAGCCACCATCTGCAGCTGATGGAGACTCTGGAGACCACCCTTTGTGCCGTTTTTTGGGAGGCCCAGAGTTTGGCAAGATACCTAGGCAACAGTCAGATCATGAGTTAGACTGTTATTGGCAATTAGCATCAGTAAAACTTACCCTTGATTTGGAGAACACATTTATTGTTATGTTTTGTTTATGATGCCAGGGCTCAAACCTAGGACTTCGCACATTCTAGGAAGGTGCCATACCACTGAATCATAGTTTTACACTGGCTTTTAAGTATCTAGGCAAAAAAAAAAAATCCTGTCATTTTTTTATAAATGTTTCACTCCAAGATTTTGTTTAAGCTGTATCTCTCTAAGTTTGAGCTCTTTGGTCTTTAAAACAGAAAAAAACAATAATAAAACCTACTCAGAAAGTGGTCCAATCTGGAATAAAGAGAATACAGGTAAAACACTTGCATGAAACACTTAGTCAAAGGTTTGAGCTCAAGAAACTAGCCGGCCAATTTGAAAAAAGAAATTAAATGGCTGGGCTTCTGCAGCTAAATAGAAAAAAAGAAAGAGAGAGAAAGAGAGAGGGAGAGAGAGAGAGAGAGAGAGAGAGAGAGAGAGAGAGAGAGAGAGAAACAAACAAGCTGCTGCCAACCACATCATCATCCTATGCATTAATAGGGTTCTACAGAGGCCTTCCTGAATTCAATGCACTACCACAATTTTGCCACTTGGGGGCAGTACTGATACACCAGTGCCCCCCCAATCCCCACTCCCACAACCTGTAAAGTGAATTTGAGATTAAAAAGAACAGAAATTGGACTTCCTGCTGCTCATGAGTCATTGCTGCCCACTCTAGATAGCAGTATGCTCATGACTCAAGCTATATTTGTAAGTGATTCAAAATGCCCAGAACTGGTTACCATAGTTTCTTGAAAATCTGGACACACATTTGTCCATCTCTAGAGCCTGTCTCAGCCCAGCTGTACTTTAAACTCACCTGGACACTTTAAAAACTGTCTGTCTAGACACAAGCCCAACGTAGGAAACCCAGAAACTCAGCATGTGAAAAGGCCAGGCATCCTGACACCAGGGACTCCCTAATAATGTGATCCAGGCGTCGAGACTGGCAGGCTGAGGGCAGTGGCTCAGGATGACCAGAGAAGGAGCTGTGCAGACCTGGCAGGTACTCATCAAAACTGTTCCTTCCTGGGCTCTGTCTAGGGCTGCCACATTGGGTCTCTGAGGTGACAATGAGAACACCCCCTTGCACTAGCACCCCAATTATTCTGATACATGCTACCATTTGAGAATGATGGCTAGAGACTCCATTGAAAGTAACCTCAAATGCTTTAACCTCATCCTTAAACTGACTAAAACTGAGAAAATAAAGTAGAAAAAAAAAAAGATAAAATGAAACGAAGGACTTTATTTACAAACAGCTTTCAAACCAGCAGGACCCTCTCTCCTCATTCCACCCACCTCACCAGGACTTCTAGAGGACTGTCATCACCATTCCCACCTGCACCAGGTGTCCCACTCTCCAAATATCAGCCCCAGGTCCAGAGAAAGGGCTCCTTCCAGACGAGGGGAAGTGATACTGGAACTCCTAAAGGGTGGGGCTGGAACTGAGAATCCAGGACAGATCTACAGGCATCCCCTACCGCACTCTATGAGGCCAACCCTAGATAGAAGTCAACCCTAAATGTCTCTATGTGGACTCTCAGCCCGTAAGTCTTCTCAAAATGTCACCAGGAACTGATACCAGCATAGACCAACTGTTTATATCTAGAGGGAACCCTATTTGGCATTTGGAGGGAGACCGTTCACAATGCAGCCCACTCACTGCAGGACTGTTAGCCTCCTGCCCAGCCTGGGTCTGGGACAGCACCGCAGTAGGTTTTCAGCCATTTCCCACCCTCCACCAGGGGGCAGAATTTCAGTGAGAACAGTAAGTGGCAGGTGGTATGAAACTGACCTGTTACAGCCTGGTTTTGAGCATCCCACCCAGGCACAGAAGTTATAGCAACTCCAACATATGCCTCTGCTCCTCAACTCTGTGACCCAGATCAGTCAGTGTCTGACACTGAGTCCCTCCGTCAGGCTCAACCACAGCCATGTGCCGGGGACTCCAAGGTGCCTTCAAAGGTCATCAAAATAGGAAACCTGAGCACCCCAACAGAAGCCCTTCTGTGGGAATGGAGGGCATGGCCCTGAGTTGAGCTCTTGAAGCCATCTAACAGGGATGGGGCAAGTGTGGAGAGTATGGAGAGAGAGGAGCTAGGTGTGGCTACGACCATGAGACCACCGAAGGGGTGAGGTGTTGAAGGCAGGGGATGAGGCTCAACAGGCTGCTTGTGGCATTCAGAAAGGCTTTGAGGTTGCACTAGGAACTATCTCCATTTCTCACACACCTCCAAAGAGTAGGGCTCAGAAACATCCTTAAGTCTAGCTCAGAAGGAACTTCTGCAGGCTAGCTGCCCAAAGCCAAGGTCATAGGGCCTCAGGCTGACAGAGGACCTGGTGCCTTGCATGGACTGGAGGCTAGGTTTCCATAGATCTTAGCTTAGGGAGGAAGACATGGACCATAAGGGGTCCCCTGTCCTAATGACCAGCGGCCACTCCTCAGCCATTTGGTGCCCCAACTTCAGCATCTGGAGAAAAAGCAGCCACAGGAGGAAGGTGGGAGCCTTGAGAGTAGGCCTGGAGGAAGGACGGTTCCAGGATGGAGAACCCACCAGGACTGGGGAGCCTTGGATTCAATTTTTTTAAATATTTGCTGCTTCAGCAAAGGGTTATATGATCCACAAGATTTTGGCCAGGAATGCCCTTTCCTGGCACAGTGGAGAGGGATTCGAGCCCAGGTTGCTTCTCTGAACCTGTCTCTTCCTCAGAGCTGAGAATCAAACCCAGGACAACACATTCTACCCTTGAACTGCAACCCCAGACCAGGATGGATGATTTCTAAGTGCCTTTCCACTTGGATCCTAAGCTCCAACTCAGCTATGTGCATGGGGAGGGGGGGAGGAAAGGAGGAGGGGAGGGGGGGAAGGAGGGAGGGAGGGCAGAGAAGAGTCGCTGTGACATTCTTAGGAGCAGCATGGTAGGGACAGCACTGGACTAGGAGTATGAAAGCAGCCCTCAAGTCTTGTTGCTCCCTTCCCCCCATACCATCTCCAAAATGCAGCTCGGTCATCACCTCCTCCCATTACTCAGCTATCACCTTCCCTCATTGCTCTGCTACAACCTTCTCCAGGTGCTTTTACCACATCCCCAAGGTGTAAAGGGACAGACAAGCTTCAGTGGCTATGCTGACACAGATAACAGCCACTATCCATTGGAGAGCTGCCAGATGTGCAGAAATTCTGCATAGCTCCTCCTCAACCCTCAGAGTAGCATTCTACCCCAGAGGAGGCAATACTGAGGGAGGCTGCAAGACAGAACTGGGCTCCGAATCCACAGTTATCTGCTTCTGGTGCCCATGCTCTTCCCCAACACTCCCCATCTTCCTGACTTCTGGTTCAAGAGAGATTGCCTGTCATCGGCACAAAGCCCTGATTGCTCCTCAGCACACATGACACTTCTCATGTGTGACTCATATGCACCGGGCTGGGTCACAGACCCATGGACACAGAGGTACCTGTCCTGATGCTCACAAAAGCAGCATGAGATTCAGAAGGTTTCCCAGTCCCATGGCTCCCATGGCTCCCATGGCTCCCATGGCTCCCATGTCCTCTCTGGTCAGAGCCCAGAGCAGGACACATCACCCCCAAGACTAGCGGCACTACCTAAGGCTGAGGGCCGTGGCAGGGCCGACAGGTTATTCTTCACCAGCTGTGGGTGCTTGGGGGAATCCTTGCCATTGAAGACAGCTGGCCCTGTTACTGTGGTCAGTGAGGGGTGATCAGAGGCTGGTCCTGAAAGCAGAAAGGACAGAAGGAAGGTCAGGCCACAGGCTGCTCTGTGAGCCAGGCAGACAACTGGCTTTGCATTGAGGAGTCTCATCAGGTTCTTGACATGATAATTCTGCCCCACAAGGGAGGACACATGGACACACACACACAAGCACACACATCTGTGCATGTATGCACATGTACATACTTGCTCTACACTCAAACACACATACATGTGTACACATGCAGAAACACATGCACAGGTGCACACTCTGCTGTGTGTGTATATACATGCACATGTATGCATACATCAACACACTCACAGGACCACATGTCCATAAAACATATGTGCATGTATGCATATACATATGCACATTCCTATGCACATATAAAATGCATACATATGAATGTACACTCTTGATTTCACACATGTATACACATATACATATGTATGCACATAGGAACATATGCACATATGCTCCTGCTCATACACACAAGCACAGATAAACATACTCAAGCACACAAGTATACAGGGAACCAATACACACAAATACATACATGTGCACACACTTAGAAACACACATCTTCCTACTCTCACGCATGTGAACAAACATGGACACATATGAACATAAACATACAGGAGCCATGTACTATCCTGCTCACACCCCAGTGGGCCCAGTCTGGGTGAGAGGATGATGTGGGGGCACATGAGTGGTCAGGGGTCCCTAGCTTCCAGGCCCACACCCAAAGTGGTTCTACTTCCTTCTACCTCCCTTCCACCCTCTAGAGTTTGTGTCAGAGCACAGCCAGGAAGTCTGTCAGGTTAGCAGCTATTGAAGTCTGGGCTGCTTATAGGACCTGGGTTCCCCAAGTCTGAGGATAATTCTGGGGGAAACCATACAATCCAGTCCCCTAAGGTTGCCTAACTACTCTATTAAAATAGTGCAAGTCAACTGGATTAGTCTAGAAGGTTTCAAGTTGGAAGCAACATGCAGATGCAATGCCACGAGGGGTATAGTTCTGTGCTGATCAGTCCATGTCTGCACCCCAGTTCTACCACTTATGACCTATGAGTTCTGTACCTATTGAACCTCCCCAAGCTTCCAAGTCCTCTATAAAATGAGGATGGTGACAGCAGCAACTGACAGAGTCACAGTGCAAAGAGCCGAAGTAGCAGACATGATGTCCATGTATGGAAAGTGTTGGCATGGGGCAAGCACCCTGCGGAGCTGGTCTCTAATCTCATTTAGTTCATACACCCACCCTGCAAGCTAGATGGAAAGAGTCCCCCACGTTACACACGGAGAAACAGAGATTCAAAGAGTTCAGTTCTCAGATCATTCTGCAGAGGGTGGCAGCTGGAATCTACACCAGCACTCAGGTGGCAGGAACAGCAGACTCCCCAGATCAAAGTGGCAGAGTAGTGAGGGGCCTGGGCACAGGAGGACAGAGAGGCCACAGAGGCCACCCTGTGGAAAGAGGCCGGGAGCCTCCAGAGGAGAACATGTCCCAGCAGAGGTGATGGATGTGTCTGCAGAGTCCAGGACACTGATTCTCTGGCCAGAAGGCATGAAAACCACTAATGGCTTTCCAGGGTCTTCAGGAAGGCTGATGTCTCTGGACACAGTGGCCATGCTTGTAGATGTTATCAGTGTAGCTAAGTGCCAGGCGTGTGAAACAAAAACACCTGCTGTGGAAACTTGCCTCCCCTAACTCCTCCCTGTGAGGTCCTGGGCAAGCCTCAGTCTCCCCAAGCCTCAGTTTCCCAATCACTCCACTGCTCACAGGGCCTGGGGAGGCTTATTGAGACACATGCACAGAGCAGGCACACGCACCATGAGATAGAATAGCAGGAACCTAACCTCAACCCCTTCTAGAACGCCACTTCAAATGCTGACTTGGTACCTGTCATCCACTAAGCTCTGTGCTGTGACCTGAGGATGCAGAGGGACTCTAGCACAGGATCCCACGTGAGGGGTCACGTTCCTTATCAAACAGGCCAGCAGCAAAGCTTTCCAAATGTAAAGTCCAGCATAGCATGTGTTCCCAAAGCTTATAAGCCACAAACTCAAAATGACATAGGACAACAACCTGCCAAGAGTGCCCTTTATTTCTTTTTTAAAATGCTGACTCCAGGTCCATGGCTTTAGCACCTGGGATACCTGTCATCTCACCTGCCTGCTGTGCTCTCACAGGGACAATGGAGTTCGTCCCAGGAACAGGGTCACTGGGGAAGGCAGCTAGAGACCCTGAGCCCTCCAGCAGTGGAAAGAGAGAACTGGAGCAGGTGTTGGCGGAGTTCTGCCGGCTTCTGAACTCTGATGGAGACAAGAAGTGTATGTGAAATTCAATTGGCTCTTCTCCAACGGCTATAGAACGACTTCCCAGGGCAGAATTTGTCTACAGGGGAGTAGGACACATGGATATTTAGAAGAAATGTCAGCATCCTGCTGGTCTTTGCTTTGGTGTGTTGCTAGGGCAGGGGTGTAATGTTCTATCCTGGCTCCCTGATAATGGGTGGCTCTATCAACAGAGAGAATAAGAGTACCCGGGGGTGGGGAGTGGGGGAGGAATAAGATTTCCTTTCTAAGTATCCAAGGAGAGACAGCAACACCCCCAAGGTACCAGGATCAGCCAGGGCCTCCTTCCACCCCTAAACTATCCACTGTCATAAAGACTGCCTCCCAGCAGCAGATCTAACCTGTGAGGTACTAGTCAGCACAAGAGAGCAAAGACAGTGAATTGGACCCACAGGGAAGATCAGCATCATCCACAGAACCTAGAAACTGACAGGCACATGGCAGGAACTCAAGAAACAGAGGGTAGCATAAGGGAAGAAGAGAGGAAGGAAAGGGAAAGAGGCAGAGTAGGGAGAGGAGAAAAGGGAGGCGTGCCCAGAGCCGCTCACACCCAAGACTGTTGCCCTCCACTCACCGAACCCGTGTACAGGATTCCAAAAGATGCAGAAAAGCAAGGGATAGAAGGACGTCTCTCTTAGGCATGTCTGGGAAGTTCCTTCTAGGACATGCTCCACTGCCCAAGGCAGGCCTCAGAAAACCCAACCCCACTGCCTGTCTCCTCAGCTGACAGTTGACAGGAGAGGTACAATGGAGACCAAGGAGGGCCACAGTGGAGCCTTTTCCTAAAGCTTGGTGAAGCTGGAGCCCAGTACAGCCTTGGGGACCAGTACCCAGAGCTGCTCTCTCTGGTCACAGCAAGCAGGGCTTGGGGCTGCAGAAGGTGGTGATGGATTGGCCTGTTCAAGTCAAGTTTTCTCAGCTTCAGCACAGAAACATCTTTCAACTGCATTCTCTTGCTGGGGGCTGGACTACATACTATGGGATGTTCCTCCCTGGTCCTACCCCTAGATGCCAATAGCAGCCTCCAGTCAGGATGATCAAAAAACATCTAGGGCTGAGCATGGCAGTACAGGCCTTTAAAATTCCAGCACTCTGGAGGCAGAGTCAGGCAGAGCTCTGTGAGATCAAGGCTAGTCTAGTCTACACAGTGAGTTCCAGGCCAGCTGGGGCTACAGAAACACCCTGTATCAAAAAACGAAGAAAGAAGAAGTGGCGAGGGGGGGATAAGGGAAGGGAAGGAGGAAGGAGGAGGGAGAAGGGAGGAGAGAAGGGAGGGAGGAGGGAAGGGAGGGAGGAGGGAGGAAAAGGAAGGGGAAGAAGGGGAGAGGGAAGAAGCAGGGGAGGGAGAAGATGAAGAAGAGGAAGAGGAGGAAGAGAAAGGAAGAAGAGGGGAGAGGAGGAAGAGAAGGAGGAGGAGGAGGAGGAGGAGG